ACTGAAACTCTTGCGTCCTTCTTGGATGGCGCAGATAATGTTGTCAATCGTGCAGATGATGTTGTGATCCTGGGTGATTTCAACTTGGGGTTTATTAACTGGAACCCTGGGGAAGGCGGTTGTGGTATGTTACCCTCAAACCATAATTCCCCTTTGGGACATTCTATTACTGACTTTATTTCCATTAACAATCTTTTTCAAGTCAATGGGATTACAAACTGCGACAACAGGTGCTTGGATTTGATTATTACAAGCTGCCAAGATGCTTATGTTGTGCGACCCTCGAGCGAGCTGAGTAAATGCTACAAGCAGCATCCTAATCTACAGTTGAATCTGCCTTATAATAAAATTATCTACCTTAAGCCCAAACGTAAACCTAGATATAATTTCTACAGGGCAGATTATTCATCTATAATAAAAAATCTGAGAGGTGTTGACTGGCGGGCGGAGTTCTCGAGCTGTGAAGGGGTTGACTCAATGGTACAAAAATTCTATCAAGTACTGACTGATCTCATAGACGAATTTGTGCCGAAACCAACGATCCATAAATCCAAGTTTCCTTCATGGTTCAGCACCTCGCTTATCAAATTGTTACACGAAAAGGAAAAAATACGGAAAAGATTCAAAAAATATGGAAACCCCAGAGACGAAATTGAATACCACCTGCTTCGTACTAGATGTCACACAATATACGATAGATGCTTCTCTGAATACAAAAACAATATTGAAGCTAACATCCCAAAAAACCCTAAACTCTTCTGGAGTTTTATTAAACATAAAAGAGGAGGCAAATCATCAATACCTGCAACAATGAATTTAAAAGACCAGGTCGGAAACACAGGCCCTGAAATAGTAAATTTATTTGCAGAACATTTTGCCTCGATCTACTTGTCCGGCTCGGCTCCTTCGGATGCTGCTTTGCTTGCGACTCCGTGTCACGCGTCTTTACAACAGAGTTTGCATTCGCTCACGATAAAGGAGTTTGAGGTGCTTAAAGCGATTAAAAAAATTGACGCTGTGAAGGGTGCCGGCCCGGATGCGATTCCGCCGGTGTTTGTGAAAAGATGTGGTTCTGCGTTGGCTTTGCCTCTGACCTTAGTGTTCAATCGATCATTAGCAGATGGGACATTTCCGTCGGAGTGGAAAAGGGCACGCATTGTTCCGGTCTTTAAGAAAGGGGAAAATTCTGACGTTCAAAACTATCGTCCTATTTCCATTCTGTCCTGCTTTTCCAAGCTATTTGAGTCGATTGTTTATCCAGTGATCTGTCGGCTTGTGGATGACAGCATCTCAGATTCACAGCATGGTTTTAGACGTGGTCGCTCAGTCGTCACAAACCTGGTCCCTTACATTTCTAATATATCCAATGAAGTTGACTCGGGCAGGCAGGTTGACGCCATCTACACTGACTTTAGCAGTGCCTTTGATAAAGTTAACCACTCCGTTCTTCTGAGGAAATTGTATGGATTGGGTGTGGATGGGGCACTTTTGAAATGGTTTGAGTCCTATTTAGGGCAAAGACCTCAGTCGGTGGCTGTCAACGGATTTAACTCAAATATCTATTTTGCCGATACTGGTGTTCCTCAGGGATCGCATTTGGGACCTCTTCTGTTTGTAATCTTCATTAACGACATAGTTGAAAAAGTAAGACACTGCAAGGTGTCACTGTTTGCCGATGACCTCAAAATATATAAAACCATATATTCCGTTGGTGACTCTCGTCAACTACAGGGTGACCTGGACGCGATACTGGACTGGTGTCGCGTCAATGGTATGAATCTTAATGCCAGTAAATGTTTTCATATCAAATTTACAAGAAAAAGGAAGCCAATTGCAACGGAATACATGCTTGGTGATACAGCATTAGTGGAGGTCAACGAAATCCGGGATCTTGGCGTGATAGTTGATAGTCAGCTTAGGTTCACCTCACACATTGACAAGTCTGTCACAAAGGCGGCTCAAATGCTCGGATTTTTAAGACGGAACTCGACTGGATTTAAACATCAGCGCACTAAAATCTTGCTTTACCAATCCTTGGTCCGTAGTCATCTTGAGTTCGCCAGTGTTGTGTGGAGTCCGTTTTATGCGGTGCATTCGCAGCGCATTGAGAGTATACAGAGAGCGTTCACTAGACACCTTGCTTATAACACTGGTGGATTTTCTCACAGGAATCCCTATAAAGAGCGCTTGATTAGGTTTCGAATGCATTCTCTTCGTGAGCGAAGACTTTTGCTGGACATGACCTTCTTTCACAAAATCATAGGTGGTCATTACCGGTGTAGCTACTTTCTGGAGAACATGCCTCTGCGTGTCCCCCGTGTCTATCCTCGAGGAAAACTTAAATACATTTTCTACATTCCACCGGTAAAGTCTAATTTGGGACGGCAGGCACCTCTCCGTAGAATAATTGATGAGTACCACTCCCTTATCTCAATAATACCCGATCTTGACGTGTTCCACGATGGATTAAGAGTATTTAGAGGCAGGATTATTGATGCACTATAGTATCGTTTGTTATTGTTGTTGTTGGTGCTGCTTGCTGTTTTGTACTTTGACATCTGTTTTAAACTCTGACATTTCTTTATATTATTGAAATTATTTTGATTCTGATTTAATTGACATTTCTTTGAAATCTTGACGATGATTTGACATTTTATTATATTATATCTGTATTAAATTATTATTATTAGACTTAATATGGCATACATTCTAATTAATTTTTGTTGTTTTTGTTGTTAATTTGTTTTGTTTTAATCAGACATAAGATAATTATATAGAAAATTGAACTTGTTAAATTCTCGTTTCAATGTGTGTATGGTGTGGAATATTGTTGTTGTTTTATTTTCCGTAATTCTCAAATTGTATTTTATTTTTAAGCCACTGTCAAGCCTATGAATTGCCAATGCTATGTACGCCATTATTGTCGCATGCATCAGACCCTTATTTTGTTACTATTGTGTATTTTCAATGTTATATGTTTGTGATGTGGCCGTACTCCTTCGAATAAATAAATAAGTACTAAAGATAATATATGTAGTAGATACAATATCGGCATCCATTTTACGTAGATCGATATTACTATTTATTAGCTAAATAGGTAACTAAGCAATGGCGATTAACATTTCTAGAAACAAATATGCTGCAAGTTTTGTTAGCAATTTTTATTTTTAAAATCAATCTAACCCCCGAATACTGAAAGGCTACTGTACTACTATTACTGGGTTTCAAAAAATTCTCAGTAGTAGCACGGAATCTGATATTGTGGCCGGTATATGGCAATAGGCTCACCCCCTGCTACATGGGACTCAATAACATAAATAGTGAAAAGTGGGGGTTACATTGTACAGTGGCATAATGTGCACCTCTGCTACCCCTTCGGGAATAAAAGGCGTGATGTAATGTTAAAATTTAGTACGAAACGTTTCAGTATTTGGGCATAAATCTTTGTTATTATTTAAAAGGATGCACTAACTATATCAATTTTGTTTGTTAATTTGTGAAGACTGGAGAATCCTGAGTATTATAATTGATTCTTTAGTCTTGTGTCAAGTTCTTTACAACAATAAGTGTAGAGTAGACAATAGATAACTCTGTACCTAAGCTAGGTATGTGCCTGTATTATCGACTGCTATTACAAGTGTTGATGACAGATATAGTTTATTATGTTCCGGTTCTTCGTAACTGCACAATATATATGTAAAGTGGTCGCTTATCGAAGTGTTCGCAATAACTTCATCCAATCTCCTCCTCCACTACTGAGTAGTTGAGTGAGTACCGATGTAGCTCTTGACTCATGTTCCAAGAACTATTGTCATAATATATTATTTTTATTTGATTTCTGTATATAGCTCAATCTTTCATTTTTTATTGTCTACACTAACATTGTTCCCGGTCGTTGGTGTAAATTAGCACCACGTTGCACAATAGCCGGCCACCCAGCAATAACCGTGCAATAATAACAACAAATAGCATTGCAACAACCGTGCAGTTTTATTGATACGAACAATTCATTTATCAACAATTTGTACATTTTCAAAAGGAAAACAAAATCTTTGATTTGTTTTGTGGACAAAATTATTACTAACGCAAGCGAGCAGTAAACAAAAGCAAGTATATATGTGTAGTATATAAAGTGTGGGAGAGCCACGCTTCAGCACGAATGGGCCGGCTCGACCGGAGTGATACCACGGCCGAGCAGAAAACCGACGTGACACAATGCTTGCGTATTGTGTGTGTGAGGTTACCGGAGGCCCAATTACCCTTCCCCCTCCCTAATCTCTGAATACCCAACAATTCTCAAATTCCTAATCCCCAAAAGGCCGGTAACGCACTTGTAACACCTCTAGTGTTTTAGGTGTCCATGGGCGACGCCGATTGCTTACAATCAGGTGATCCGTCTGCTCGTTTACCGGCTTATGCTATAAAAAACATATATTTATCGTAAAAACAAATGTGTCACAAATAAACCTAACCTGGGTTCTAAATTAAACGGTGAAAATAAAGTGAAATAACATTTTGCAAGTTTTAAATTATGTGCAAAAATACATAATTACAATAAACTATACATATTTATATATACCAGTCATCGCGTCGTCTGCGCATAAATTCAATTTTGAAGTCTTTTGATTTTGTCATCAATGAATTTATGACTGAAATGAAAACTTTGGTGAACGGTACAAATAAATAATACCTAAGTATAAAAATAATTTCATATGAATAACGTGCTTTAGTATAAAGAAATAGATTAAAAACATATTATTATGAACTCGATAAGAGGTCGAACGTATTAATTAGAGGTCTAATCCAATAGATAATTAGCTGCACCTATCTTGATAACAACTTGTACCTAATTAATCCAATAGACGTGTTAAAAACATTACATAGGAGCCCTGCATATACATAAAAAAATATGGAAATGAATTCAATCCACAGTTGCATGTAAATAAACAAAACCATCGCGAAATATATAGATTATGAAAAATAAATGAATGAATACTAACAGTGTATAATATGCCGATGATCTTAGCACCAAGCTCCAGGCCAAAGCAGCAACAGCAGTTATCCACACTCAAACACATGATTAATTGACTAAATAATTAACTTGAACTAATTATTTATAATTAAATCGACACTGAACCGGCTTATAAGACGTGTAGTCCGTCAGTCTCGTCACGCGAACACTAGGCAACTGATAAGATTCCCTTAACTGCCACTATCTGCCGCTAGGGTGAGACCAATTATCAGCACTGTGTTAATCTACCGACCACTATAACTTACTGTGTTTTACTAAAACTGTCAACCAGCAGTGACATCGGGCCATATAAATACCTACATATATCAGTGCATATAAGACCGTAAGACAACATTTTATGCATTTTTCAGAAATAGTATCTATCAGTTAAATTAATTTAGGGCCCAGGTGTCATATTGATAAAATGCATTTCCATGGAAACTATTTGCGAAAACAAAATGATACTGGCTAAGTATCTGGACTATCTGGTGGATTTTATGACCATGATATTTAAAAAAACGTGTTACCTATAAAATTTATTTAGTTAGATAAGCATAGTACATAGTACACAGTGTAAGGTTACGGTTAGCGTTACCTACTTACTTATTTACTGATTTCCGCGTCACACACTCAAACAGATTTCTTATCAATTTTATTCAGATTTTCTTGGTACTTATTTTTGTCTCGCACCATGACCACCATGATCGAGGTCTTGAAATATTACTGCCTGACTGAAGATTTTTGGGCAACAATTGTTGTAATTACTTTTCATCTGCATTAGGTAATATTGTTATGGTTATCAAATAAATAGTCTACCATTTAATCCTGCTCTCAAAATATTGATTAAGTAAAAGTGTTTCGTAAGGGAGTAGCCACCTAGGTACCTACTTCTTGTTAGGAATTGGGCACACACAGCTGTTGCTTAATAAGGATGTCACGCTACTACTCATGTATTAACTACCTAGGTACTGTAAGTGGTGTAAGTGGATAACTAGGTAAAACGGAACACCCAAATGGGACACTCATTGCACTATTTGCATTCACTACTCACTGCTGCACACGTTTCCAATCCGTCGCGTTTACGTAACACATAACGATGCAGGAATGTAGATGATTCCTAAAACGGGAAAGTACTTACCTAAATACGAACACCGTGAATTTGCACCTAAAGGTATAAACGATTTCTCTTATCTGTCCATTTTCCAATATTTACTTACAATTAAAAATTTAAAATCTGGATTGATTTAAATTGAACTAAACCAAAATCTATTCAACTAATTATACCTAGTATAAAATCGACGTTAACTTAAATAATTTTGATTCAAATCTGTTATTCATTTCAGTCGTTATCTGTAAGTATTTATATCTAATAGAACAGTCATTTTCTTTGTCTAAGCCTGTAGACGTTCCTAGGTTTTATTTCTTAATCTGTTTTATCCTATATTTACATCGTAGTAAGTCGGTGCATTTTGTACACATATTGTGTATTAGTTAGTGAATGTGTATTTTTATAACAGAGCTAGCGACCCGGCCAGGCTTCGCACGAATGCAATATGCATGTATTAAACATATAAACCTTCCTTAAGAATCACTCTATCTATTAAAAAAATCGCATCAAAATTGGTTGCGTAGTTTTAAAGATATAAGCATACATAGGGACAGACAGACGGCGGAATGCGACTTTGTTTTATACTATGTAGTGATGAACCGGACCGTTTCGGTGCGATCTTGAATATTTGATTGCATGTCTCGAGATTGTGTTTGTATATTAGAATTAACACTTTACGAAGGTTACTCAAGTTTACAAGTTTGTCACAATTTACTAAATGGTTAATATATAACATCATAACATAACATCACGCCTCTTATTTTCGAACGGTTAAGCAGAGGTGCACATTACGGCAGTTAATGCCATTGTACAATGTAACACGCACTTTTCACTATTTGTGTTATGAGTCCCATGTAGCAGGGGGTAAACCTGTTGCCATGTACCGGACACAATTCCAGATATCGTGCTACTACTGAGATTTTTTTTTAAACCCAATAATACTTCCTCTGTTAGGACAGATTTTCACGATATGTAATCTATTCAGATGTTGCCAAAATGCCGTCCGAAAGAGAAGCACAATAAAATAAGTAAATAAGATAACCACTTATAAAAGTATCCGCTACAAAATACTATACAAAGTTTTCATTATAGTTTCTTGTTGTACGGTAGGTACAAAAAAAACAATCATTCGAACACAGTAGGTACCTCCTGCTTTTTTTAAAGTCGGTAATAATGATACTGATATTAATAAAGGGATTCGACCTACTCATTCTGATTAGTGCATCAAGTTTACGCCCATTCCCCACGCAAGTACTGAGAAGACTGAAAAATAAAAATGAAACACCTTAATTTTAATCAAATCGCGTATCGTTCGTATCAGTTTAATAGAAAGAATTAAACAATGCGAGATAAGGGCCGGGCGTCACTAGTGCATCGTTATCAGTCGCGAAAACATGGCGGCCAGCGATTACTACACCCGTGTTACAGTGATAACGTACCCTTGACGCAGAGCTAACGTGATCTCAACGATTAATAATAGCACTCGGAACTCCGATGGTTTATAAATACTCCGCCACGTTCCTAGGTCATTAACGCTGCAAGTTCAAGATGGGAGTGCCCATGATCAATAAATGCTGCTTCTGCGCCACCCTACACACAGGAACCTTGATTATAGGATATGTTTATACGGTAAGTTTGTTTTTTTTTTGTTTCGCTTTGACAGCTGAGTGATAAGGAAATTCCCTTCAGTTTATTATGGATTTCATTGTTTCAGTGTTTGATTTGTGTTAATTTTACATATATTCTGCAAATTTTTCATGATCTGGCCATGCTGTACGCGTTAACAGTTAATATTTACACAGTAAACAGATAAAATAAATAATGTCAAGGTTAACATTCCGTAGCGCCTGACGTTTTTCTCTGAATGTAATGTTTTCTTTCGCACGGAATAAAACACGTTGCTATGGTAACGGTTTGTTAACATTTCTTTTTAATATTCCGGAAACAAATGAATGAGGTCTCATTGATTTATTTATTGTTTTATTATTCAGGTACCTTAAAAAAAGGCTAACCGCTGCTCCTTTGTAGTTTATCTAATCTGAAAATGTCGGTCATTAACTTCACTTTGAAAGTTATCACAAAACAATTAAATCACAATTAGAGATCAATAATTGTATTTTAAGATTAATATTTAAAAACAATATATTTTCCAGGTTTGGGCGTTACTAGAGCTGGCAATATACTGTTTGCTGGTGACACTGGCACCCCTGGGTAAAGATGGGAACGTGTCAATGCACAAATATGTATTCTACGTGACTGCAGCCTGTGTTAGCGGGACACATCTCATCTGTTCTGTGCTCCTGGTAGTCGCCGCTTATAAGGTAAAGAGCTGAGAATACCTTCGCAATTTTCATACTAGTTTAATTTAGTAAGTATTTAAGTGTCAGAAAAGAATGCATTATATCTAGAAGATATTATACATTGCAAACAACAGTTTGTTTTTATATTAGATATTCACCAGTTATGTTCGAAACTTCTGAATCCTATGTAATAAAGATCAAATCTATTTTACTGGGCACAATGCCAGACTTTCGATTCCTTTCGATCATCAACTGCAAAAATTCTATGAGCACCTAGGCATTCTATAATTTTCAATTCGAAAGAACCAAGTGAACTTGACCGCGGTCTGCCCTGTCAGTGTCATTGGTTGTGAGAATAATATCGAGCAATGACGGGGGAGAATGCGATCGAATTAACTTCGAAATTTAAAAATAATTGATATGTTACAGAATAGCCCAGCAGTTCGGAAAACAGCCTTTTTGCTCCCCGGCAGTCGCTCTTATTTTTATTTTATTTTTTATTTATTTATATCAGGCAACGAAGGCCCTATTAGGCCGAATTATTATGATTCAGTTATGATGGTTCAGTTTAACGAGGTATTACACAGCTGTTACTGTATACCCATTCCTTTTTTCAGAAACTAGCATCCCTAACATTGCCATGGACAATAGTGACGGGCATCATCACAGCGATATACTTCCTTCTCTCCTTCACCGGCATCAGCCTGGTGCTGCAGGATGAGGGGGAGATGCTCGAGGTCGAGTCCATCGTTATATTTATACACCTCGCTAGATCATGTGAGTATCTTCACCATTAATTTTCTGTAGTTAAATATTAATTGCAAATTGTGACGGTGAACGGTGAAGTGATTGGAGAAATTGGGCAGGGAGGGAATTGCGCCTAAATCTCACTCACGCGACCGAACACCATGCAAGCGTTGTTTCACATCGGTTTTCTGTGAGGCCGTGGATCACCCCGGTCGAGCCGGCCCATCCCTGCCAAAGCATGACTCTCACACACTTAAGTGTACCTACATACATGTTATTAGGCATAATAAATTAATCCTTTTTTTCGACACACATCACAATAATTTAATGCAATATTTCTTTCGTTCCAGTTATCTCAGTATACTGCATCATAGTGGTGCACAGCCGACATAAACAGATCATGCACGAGGAGGATGAGTCCAGGTTCCAGCACTCTGGTCGAATATATCAGCCTGTGTCTGTGAAGGTGGAAGACCACGTTCTATAGACTAATAACTAGATGTACCTAAATTAAAGGTACTACATTTGATAAGCTTTTAGTTAGCATTTACTTGCACACATAATATAGACCTTTAGTGCTTCAAATACCTAGGTACTATGGTGCTTGAACATGTGTTTTATTAATATGTATTTTAAAAGCCTATTGTACCTTGAATAGTGTAGGGTACATAGTGTAGTAACTACAGTATCAACTACAATAAAAACCTGCATTTTCATACCTTTAAGTAAAATAATTGTGTATGGAGTTAGGGACTATGTTTTTACGTAAATAAGTAGGTGTTGTGATAGCAAAATTATGAACGAATTTTTAGTACCTAAGTACTTACATGCTTAAGTAGTTACAAATGTATGCGTAATTTAATTTGAAGGTAATGGTGAGATTGTAACAGTACAAGTTCCTGTGAACAAATATAATGAATTTATACAAAGTATTTGTGTCTTATAATGATAAGTATTTTGTACCTCTAAGTACCTAAATAAATTATTGAATTGTTATGTTTTTAATTTCAAGCTTTTTGGTGTTTTAATTTGATTCACTTATTTGTCTGCACGGTTGGTGCGATGGCTGGGCAACCGGCTGCCGTACAGAGTGCCGCGGGTTTGATTCCCGCACGGAACAACACTCTGTGTTGACATCTCACTGTAATCTGCGGTTATCCACAAATTCTTGTTTCGGGTCTGGGTGTCATGTACTATGTTTGTAAACGCACCCACGGCACAAGAAAAATCCTACAACGTAGGTACCCCAAGCAACGTTTCCTAAAAAAATAAAAAATACATTGACCTTTGAAACAAACAGAAGGCGGACATTTCAATATACCTTCTTACATCGTAGAGTCTTTTAAAATGTAGGCCTGATTACAAATAAATTGCATTAAAAAAAGTGATTGATTCTTAAATTCAAGTAGTAGGTACCGTTGATATCCAATTTAGCTGGAACCATGTAGGAACCTCAACAATGCAGTATTGTTTACTATTAAAAAAGTCATTTTATTTGATGTTCGTTTTCAGACTCAAGTTGTAAGTGAAACGGAACGTGCTGCCTACGTCAGAAAAACGTCGCTCGTCTTGTTGGCGCCATTCAAACGACAAAACAATACGTTATCTCGGTCACACAGATTGAAACTATATATCGGCATCTCACTCATGCCCAAATTTTTATTCATGGAGCAGAGCAAAGTAGCGATTTTTATTTCAGTGCAAATCGCAAAGGCGCGTTGTTTTGTTGTGCAGTGTGTGAAATTGGAATAAATAACGAACGTAAAATAATTCATGTTTATATTGTAATTTGTTGGTAAACAACATAGTTACAATACTTTTTGGCATTTCTTGAAGGAAAATTTCTTGCGGTTTTTGTTGATGTAAGTTGGTATATTTAAAAACTATTTTATAATTTTACTACAAGGTTGTTTGCCGTCTGTCGGCGTTGCTGATTATAATTTTCAGCGACCAGATGTTTACATTCCGGTTTTATCTTTTAATGTACTATTTAAAGATATTTTTGCCAAGATATTAATAATAAATCGTCAGGCGTATTCTTAGGAATACTTAGTTTACGCAATACTTTATTGTAACTACTATACTTTATTGAATACCTACTTTAAATGTAATCTTTGCTTTATCAATATTCAAATTAGGTAGTTATTCCGAGTTTCGAGGTTGACTAAAGCTTTCAAATAAATTTCTAAACATGTCAAACCGTCTAACAAACACAGGCACCCCCATGGTTCCACCTACTTCATTTATTTTGTTGCTAAGTGCCCAGCACTAGATAGAAAGTATGTCTGCTCAGACTGTGTAAGTTAGGGCCATAGAAAAATAAATGAAAGTCACTTTGTCTGATTTTTTAGCACTAACACACATTAAAAATACAACAACACTGTTCTTCATTACTTGACAATGACATAGATTTCTGTGTTAGTTATTTTAATAATATATTTTGCAAAGTCCTCTTAACAAGTAATGGTGTAAAACCACAATTCTCAATTAAATATTCTTATCTGCGGAGCCATAGCAGATGCATGTAAATATTCACATATTACTTACTTATCTACTTTTCTGTTAATCAAATTGACTTAGTGACTTTTAATGTCAATGGAATGGACTCGGCATTCAAGGTTGAACAACATGTTCTACCTATATAAATCTTTTAATCCCGGAAAGGATAGGCAAAGGTGTTCATTAAAAATGTAGAACTCATCATTCAACTTGTTATGCAATGAATGTTTGTAAAACTAGTTTCAATTACTAGTTTCCAAAGTATTTTTTTCTTTACGATACTCACATATAGTCACAACTATGGTAACTTAGCTCAACCATTACTGACCAGTCTTAATTCAGGACCTGTGGGTAAGGATCAATCATTGACATCAGTTGTGTGGAGTTTCAGTCAAGAAATCAATCACTATTTTGGATTGTGGTTGATTTTTATTTTTGGCTAGTAGTCACTGAAACAAAACTTACATGAAATTTATCTATAAGTAAATTTTACATTAGATGTAGTTAGGTATGTCCTTACCCGGTGCCTCCTACAGGTGCAGATGGTGGCCACAGGGGAAGTTTTAGTGAAGTAAAATCCCACACTCCCTACTCTTTTTCCCCAAAAACCTAGGCACCTTTTGAAGGTTTCCCCCGTCAACAAAAAAATTATTAAATTGGGTAGTTTCCAGGGTAAAAAAATTAAAAATCTAATTTGTCCGTCAGTTAGATAAATTTATTTTTATTCTCCCGTATAAAGTTACAATACTTATATAAAATGGAGTTAAGTTTAGGCATGGGAGGTAGTTATGTCACAACATGCTACATTTTGTGGCACTCTGTGACGTTACACGACATTTAATTTTGTGAGAAAAGAAAAAATATGTGTCTACTGTTTTAAAATAATCTATCAGACGGACATTAAAATAAAATTTAGGAAACTAGCCTATTATACTCATTTGAGAAATTTTGCAAATAAGGAAAAAAGTATGATCTTATTTCAATTGTTATAGTATGTGAGTATTATTCAGTAAAATTTATCCAACCAGGATGACCTTTCTGACTCATATTTATAACGGTGGGTTATTTTTATTATTTTTTTTATCTTAGCTGCGCGTAATCATAGCGTCATTATAATTAGTTTTAGGCCTTTGCAGCGGGGTAGTCATGGTTGGGAATTAAATAAAATATAATATACAGTAGGGAGTAGGGACTGTATCTTTAAATTTCTATCAAATTTTTATTAATCATACCTTTTGATGATTGTACAATTGGCGCAGTATGATTGGACGACCAACGACTGCCCGGCTGCAGCCAGCAGTCGCGCGGGTTCGATTCTCGCATGGAACAATAACAATTGTTTATTTCGGGGTCTGAGTATGATGCTGAGTGAAAATTGTGTTGTAACTGCAACTGCAACTATGGTGCAAAGTGAAACAATAGATGTTGATTCATTATCTTATCTAGCTTTGTTAATACTTTGTCTTCGTTTTTAGAAACCATATTTTTTCAACTCTGTACAATAAATGTTAAATGAACCTAACAAAGAACATTAAAATTTTAGACCAATTTATCCTTAAGAATTTTTTATGTACACAATACTCAATTGTTTGATTTATGTATCTGAGCTGGTTATCTAGCAGGACGCCAAATTCAATGAGCCATGAAATCAGCCAGGAGACAGCAATAACCATAACTTAGATGTGATCTAGCCAGTCGCCTTAATTCTTATCAATTAGCGACATCTTTGCTGTAAATTGCGCGTGACCTTGAGTTGGGGCCTGTGCGCCGGCGCAGACTGACAGGACGCCGACCGTTATTAAACAGTGGCGCTTGAGGCTACAAGAGTATAGGTGTACAGTAGTATATATACTTACCTGCCAGGGGTGCCTAGCGAGCCGGTTTGGTCCAGACAACAATATTGACTATGTGCATTTCTGAGTATAAAGCGTGTTCTAGTTACAAAGCAAAACAATGCTAGTGCTGTCCCTGAATAAATTGGCCTTGTGACTGCCAGACAGCGGAATGTATTGAATTGTATGGAAACGCCAGAGCTTATTAAGGCATTACGTCACCTAACCTTGTTCGGAACTTTTAATGTTCTGTTTCCAATTAATCTGATTTTGGAGCCATTTTCAGTCGACACGCATGACAAACACCTATAGCAGTAAAACCCAATTTGACCCAAAAAGCCAACTTTAATTGGCTTAGAAATGTTATCATTGTAAACAACATTGTCTCCATAAAAGTTGGATACGATCATACGAGTGCATTACCCATTACCATTAATATCTAGCATCAATCAATAAAGTACGACCAGACAGAAATGTTATGGATGTAACTGCTAATCAATTATGGCGATGCCAATTAATTGTTCGTTACTTTGTAATTTGTATACAGGTCGTAAACCTCAGAGACAGCCATGGGTGGTTACATGCTTTAAGAACTGGTCAAAATGTCAAAAGAAAAGTATCCTTTTGCAAAATATTTTATCGTAGAAATAGAAGCGGAACACAGTTTGTTTTTGCGTGCGTTTAAACATGATAGATGATACTGGGAGTGGGACGCGAGGTTTAATAGGTCACGGACGGCATTAGCGCCGACCACTTACGAGATGAACAAATTATTTGCACTAGAAAAACATACTAGGTACATATCTATGTAATATAGTATGTACTGCTCTGCCTGTTCTTGTCAGTGATTTGATGTAACTATTGGCATCTAATATTTATTTTGATTCACCCGTTCAATATCTGCTCTACACATGAACATAAAACATGTTATAAAACTGAAGAGTGAATTTTTTGATGGAATGCCACTCGGCAAATAGCACAGTTGTAGTGGAAATAATGTTTTTGACTACCTAGCAGTTACGAACACGCATTCAATTTAGATTGATGAAACAACATTTTATCCGATAGCAAGAATTTAGCAATTTGTTTACAGGTATCATGCATTGACATGTGGATCAGATAAAGTCTGTTATTGTTTCGTCCATCCTGTATAAGGACAATCAATAAAAATTACCTGACGGCTGTCCTTGGCAAGTTCACTATCATCACTAGCGGGATCTGGGTGTGTGGTGCAAGGTACAGCACTACCACGGTCATTTTTATTTGATGCTGGATTTATTTTTTACTGACTAAAAGCCTGACGAGCCTTGAGGTATCTTATACATATATTTTTGGCTCCGGGTGTGAATTATCATTGATCCTTTCAACTGAAGCAAAATTATTCAAAATAAAAACATGATTTATTAAAAAAAAAAACATTCAGGCTAAAAGCACAAATGTACAGATGAAATAATTACTTAGCCAAATAAGTTTTTAAACTAGAGAGTCCTCCAGAAACACTGCGACAAATAATTTTGGCACCAAGACTGGAACTCTTAAATATCTTATGTTGAAAAGTAGTTTTTCATATAGAGATCGCGGTTCGCTCATACCTTATCTCATAGGTACTAGCATTAATGATAATTACATTGTCAGTCCACACGTATTAACGTGCAAAAACACTAGGGACTTGTTTCAATAGTCCCGTCCTGCACATCTGTCGCTCAGTGTTACCCTGACAATGGCGTCGGACGATACCCAGTAAGTCACTCTCCCTTTCTCTATGATCTTTCATTTCTTTCAAAAATATCTTTTCACTTGCTGCCTTCTTCTATGTCATTTTAGTTATTTCGTAGACCGAAGTTTATTGTGCATTTTTAAATCATCGCTTTCAGTTTAACGCTTTCATTGTTACAACTACTTTCGCCTATAAGTCTCTCCTACGTGATTGTTTTATATGGTTTCTGTTATCCTAAGTTACATTGGAGACTACTAAAAATCAAGCAACGGATATGGAGTGCCTTTTTTTTTTTTTTTTTTTTTTTTTTTTTTTTTTTTTTTTTTTTTTTTTTTTTTTTTT